TGGGGCTGGCGAGAAGGGGCGGGGCACTCAGGGGAGGAGGTGGGGCTTGTGGGAAGGGGTGAGGCCAAGCGGGGAAGGACGTGGGGCTGGTGAGGTGGGCAGGGCCTCCCGGATGGGAGAGCCACGGAGGGGGTGCTGGGGTGGGACGGAAGCAGGGCAGAATCAGGATTGGGCCGGAAAGGACAGAGCGGGAATGGAGACGGAAGGGCAGGGGTGGGCGAGGAGACAGGGGTGGGTAGGGATGTGCAGGACAGGTGGATGAGTCCAGATGGGACAGCACAGGGGCCGAGTGGGGCAACTCTCCCCCTCTCCCAGACAGCTTCCCCCACCCACCCCTCCCCGCTGCAGGTTCTGGTTCCGCCTCTACTGGTTCCCGCTCAAGGTTCTGTACGCCACGTGTCACTGCAGCCTGCGCTCAGTGCCTGACATCCCCTTCTACTTCTTCTTCAATGCGCTCCTTCTGTTGCTCACCCTCATGAACCTCTACTGGTTCCTGGTGAGTCGGAGCCCCCAGCTCCTTGCCCACCGGCTGCTCCTCAGTTGGTAGTCCTGTCCTGGTCCCCCGGCCCCAAGCAGTGGTCCAGGCACAGGCCGTTCTCGGGCACACCCGGGGCGGGGCATATTCGGCAGCAGGAACGGTGGCGCGTGGGCTGGGCTGGTGGCCCCGGAGCGCGCGGCCTCTAGGAGGGCAGCAGGATCAGGGCAGAAGTGGCTTTTTCTCACCGGTACCTCCCCCTCCCACAGTACATCGTGGCCTTTGCTGCCAAGGTGCTGACGGGCCAGGTACGCGAACTGAAGGACGTCCGGGAATACGACGCGGCAGAGGCCCAGAGCCCCAAGGCCAGCAAAGCTGAGTGAGTGTGGAGGGGCCGCCGCCCCAGTTCATTCCTTTAGCCACGTCTGTCCGGCCCCGCACTCTGTGGGCCGGCCCCGGAGACAAGGCAGCGGATGATGTCGCCACGCCACGGACGCTGCATCCAAAAGAGCCTGCATCCAAAAGAGACTGTAATAAAGGCATGGATGATGTAGCAACAGAGTTAGATGCTGTAAGGACAGACAGGAAGTGCGTAGACAGGTGTGGGGGTGGGGGCGGACTGGCGAAAGGCAAGAATCGGGGTAGGAGCGGTGAGGCCAAGCTGAGGAGCTGGTCCAGTGGGTGAGCAACCATTAGCCAGGCCAGAGAGTGACCTCTAAGCAGGTGGCAGTGGAGGTGGGGATGCGGGGGTGCCATGGTGGCCCAGAGAGCCCCCACTCTGTCCATGTTGACTCTCCCCGGCCTTGAGGTCCAGCAGGGCAGCCCAGTGGTCAGCCAAGCAGGAGGTAAGGCTGGGGGCTCAGGCCCTAGGAGTCCTAGGGAAGGAGGAAAAAGGGGGGTCCTCATCAAGCATCATGGAGGTAGGCCCCCAGGACTCACCAGCCCCAGGTTGTGAGCCAGATGGTGTTCAAAGCCCCTAGCCTGGAGGGGCCCCAGGAGTGAATGGAGGCAGGTTTGGGTGGCCAGCAGAGTCTAGGGTGCACGGCGCCCCGGAGACAACACGAGGAGGGTTTGAGCAGCAGCGAGGTCGGAGGCTCCCGACGACTCACAAGGCACTGAGCCAGTGGCCCCTGTGACTTGGCTGCTGGAGGCCTCATCAGTGAACGACCTGGGAAAGGTGGTTTCAGGGAAGCAGTGGGCTCAGAGCTCGATGAGATAGGTCAGAACGGGCAGTGAGTGAGGAGGGTGAGAGAAGCAGAGATTTAAAACATCTCCTTGGAGTTCAGAGGCAGGGGAGCAGAGAACTGGAGGATTAGCAGAACGGAGAGCTGAATCAGAGGAGGGCTCCGTGGCTGGTTCACATGAATAAAAGCACTTTGCACCCTCAAAGCAGGAGACTACAAGTGGGGGCTGCTAAGGCCAAAAAGCTGGCACCCAGGGCAGAGAGGGACCAGACAGGTGAGCAGGGGTCACAGACATGAGAGGCTGGGCAGCAGGTGTGGTCTCCCCAGCTGGATTGTGTGTGGGCCTGTTGGCCAAGGTGACTGATCATCACGAGGCCGTCACTGTCATCGGGGCATGTGGGCACAGGGGCCATAGTGGGAGGAGGAGAGTGATCAGGTCCCAACTGTGCTGTTTTAGGCGAAACAAATAAAAAGAAACAAAGACAATCCAAGACTTCAGGGCTGTGTGCACTGGCAGAGGGGGATTAAGAGTCTAGTTGGGGGATGTTAGATCGTCCGATGTCCAGGGAACATGAATTGGCCATTCCATAAAGACTTCAGTGAGGTCTCGCCAAAGAGTCTGACCAACCCTCAGAGGCTTCCAGAAAAAGCAACGGCTAAAGAGAACTCCAGGGGTGGGAGAGGGGAGCACCTGCTTGGCCAAAACTAAAAACCCGAAAGATCTTCCTGCTGTAAACTAGTGAACTCCTGGTGGAGATGTCCTTGCAATGCAGAGCCCAAGGCAAAGAGCAGGCCAGACCACCCAGCCCTGCTCAGTGCTGCCCCCTCCTCTGTCTGCCCTGAGAATGCCCAGCCAGAATGTGTGTTGAGGAGCTGGCACCTGGCCAGCATTTCCAGTAGGATCAAAGTACAAACTCCGTGCACAAATGGCAGGGCATACCAGGGAACACACTGCCACGATCGACCCCATGGGCATCACCAGCAGAAGAACCAAGTTCCCCAAGGTTGGCTAGAGTTAGCTCAGTTGGGTATAAAATGGAATGGGATAAAAAGCAAGGAGCATGTGGAACGTGCTACAGAAAAGTGGTCAGGACGCCTCCAAACCATCAGGTCATGGAAAACAAGGAGGCTGAGGAACTGTCCCAGATCAGAGGAGACTAAGAAGACACGGTGACTGAATGCAGTGTGGGATCATGGACCAGAAAAAGGACATCCGTGGAAAAACTGGCAAAATCCAAATAAGGCCTACAGTTAGTTCACAGCACTCTCCCAGCCTTGGTTTCCTAGTGTGACAAATACACTGTGGAGGTATAAGATGGTAACATTGAGGGAGGCTGGGTGAGGGCTACACCTGAGCTCCCTGTACTGTCTTTGCAACATCTCTGCCAATCTACAATTATCCGAAAATAAAAATCTTACTAAGAAAAACAAAAGGCGTGAAAAACCATCACAAATGACGTTGGATGTCATTTTACGTTGCCGGGGCCCTCGTAACAAAGTACCACACGTTGGGGGAGCTTTAAAACAACAGAAATTTATCCCTCACGGTTCTGGAGACCAGAAGTCTAAAATTGCCAGCAGGGCCGTGCTCCCTCTGACGTCTCTAGCAGAGGATCCTTCCTTGTCTCTTCCAGCGTCTGGGGATTCCAGGTGTTTCTCCGCATCACCCCAATCTCCATTTTCTGTCTTCGCATGACCTTCTCCTCTCTGGCTCTTCTCTCTTGTAAGGACACTTGTCCTTGGATTTAGGGCCCACCCTAAAGCCAGGATGAGGTCATCCCAGATCCCTTCACTTACATCTGCAGAGACCTTCTTTCCCAAATAAAGTCACATTCACAGGTGCCAGAGATTAGGATGTGGACGTACCTTTTTGGGGACCACTCCTCGCCCTGCTGTGCATGTTAAGACTCGTACAATTAGATACAGCTGAAGAGAGAATCGCTAACTGAAAAGCTGTGAACAAGTGGCCCAGAAGACAGTGAAAACAGTTGGAAAATATGACAGCTAGAATTCTAAGAATCGCCTGGGCTAGCTGAGTTCTCACAGGAGAACAGAGAGAGACCGTATGAGAAGATGTAACGTGGAACATTTTCCAGATGTAAAGATGTAAATCATAAAGAGGACGAGTAAAAAGACATCCAGGCCCCAAACACACCACGGTGAAAAATGCAAAACAGCCCCAGAAAAGATGGCCAATGAACCGTAACACTAACAGCAGCGAGGGACGCTGGACGACCGTGGAGAAAACTAGCATGCCAAGTCCTGAAGCAACTGGGAATTTCACACAAATTTTTTTTTTTTTTTTGAGAGAGAGAGAGAGAGAGAGCACGCGCACACTCATGAGTGGAGGAGGGGCAGAAGGAGAGGGAGAATCATCTCAAGCAGGCTCCGCCCTGTCAGTGCAGAGCCCAACGTGGGGCTCGATCCCAGGAACCATGAGATGATAACCTGGACCGACATCAAGAGTCGGGCGCTTAACTGACTGAGCCACCCAGGTGCCCCCTTCATACACAACTTTGACAGCATTTGCTCAAGGACGCCTGGCTGGCTCAGCCAGTGGAGCACAAGACTCTTGACCTCAGGGTCATGAGTTTGAGCCCCTCGTTGAATATAGAGTTTACTTTTAAAAATGAATAAAATCTTTAAATGAAAACAATTACTCCAGAGACAGGACACCCACAAGAACGAAACCTATGAAAATGTACCATCCATAGACCCCGATGGGTATATTTCAGAAAACAGAAACACTATCCCAAGAGGCAGATCAGCAGATGAAATGATACATACCTGGGTGAAAAATTTTAAATGCCTAATTTGATATTTAAAGAGAGTGAGGGGCGCCTGGGTGGCTCAGTCGGTTGAGCGACCGACTTCGGCTCAGGTCACGATCTCACGGTTTGTGAGTTCGAGCCCCACGACGGGCTCTGTGCTGACAGCTCAGAGCCTGGAGCCTGCTTCCCATTCTGTGTCTCCCTTGCTCTCTGCCCCTCCCCCACTCATGCTGTGTGTCTGTCTCAGAAATAAATAAATGTAAAAAAAAAAAAAATTAAAAAAAAAAAGAAAGTGAGACCTGATGTAGTAAATATCAAAATGGGGTTGGGGCCTTTGCACTTGGCAGGAGGGTGGGGTTTACCGTTAGCAGATAGTAAATACTTCTGTTAATGCTCTTGGGGCATAGAGGGCAGCCCGGAAAAAAAAAAAACCAAAACAGGTACAACAAAATAAATGCAAAAAAGAAGGTTAGTGAAAGCAGGATAAGTAATGCAAAAGAAGAGGGTAGAATCCCAAATATCACACATCCAAATACGATACGCATGAAATAATCGTAGTAGTTGCAAGACTTTTTTTTTTTCTTTCAATATCCACCTCTATACTGGTTAAAAGACTTCAAGTCCAGAGTACGTGAAAGTTGCGAGCAAAAGGATGAGACAAGAAATTCAGGTGGCATTCTTGATCTGGAACGTTCCACAGTGTACAACCCAGAATCTCCACTTGAGGGGACTGAGGGAAGTGGTCTGGGCTCACAAGCCGCCCAGAAGCAGGGTGAACAGATGTCCTTTTGAAGCACAGGGCATTTCTCACAACTGACCAAACCCAGTCCCCGGGGGAAATCTCAAGCACTCAGAACCAGGATCGTGCAGGCTTCATAGACAAAAATGCAGTGAGGTTTGAGAACAGCAAGGAATGACGACGGGGACCACTTTTAATTCAGGAGCTGCAAAAACAAAACGTGCCAGCGAGGTAGCACCACCCCCTTTCTCACTGTGCTCAGCCTCATTCTCTCTCTCTTCTCACCCCTTCTCCCTCTCAGAGCCCCTGGTCATCTGGCAGACCACCATCGGGGACTTACACAGCTCAAGTGCCCCCCACCCAGCCCCTCAGTCTGAAGCCCCCATCATCGCCTCAGGCTCCGCCCAGATCAGCAGCCATCGGGGGGGGGGGGGCCCTCCTCACCCCACACTCGCTCGGCTGACCTGCCCCCGGTACCCACCACCATTTCCCTGCTGGCCTTCCCCCACCTCCCAGGCCCCTTTCATTTCATTCACACCAACTTCCAAGTTTCTCTCCCAGCTCACGGTGCTCCTCTGTGCACCAATCTCCGTCTCCAGGTCTGCTTGACATCCCTAGCATCTTTGAAAACATCGGGAACCAGCCCCCATTCCCACCCCAAACATCCTCTCCGGAATAGTTTTTCCGTTGCGGTTGAAGGAAACTCAGGGTGAAGACCTGGCCAAGCCCTAGGGAGTTCCCTCACTCCCTCTCTTCCTTACCTCTGAGGAAACATCCAGAATCCACCCGAGACGCTGCCTGCCCTCATTCATCACCCTCCAGCTTCCGCCCTTGTTCTGATTCTTTTTTCCCCATAGTGGTGCAATGAACCTGAAAAGCATAAATCTGACATCATAGAGAAGCCACACATCCCCCCCAAAATACTGACACTAGTTTTGAGGGGGAGGGGTGCTTGGAAGCTTGTACAGAAAAATAGACCAGCATCATTGGGAAAGTTCTGATAAAAAGGCACGTGTCAGGGTACCCATCCTTGAAGGTATTAAACATAATACATAGAAACCGAAACAGAGCTGAGTCCGTAAATAGAATAGACTCTAGTCCTAAAGATCACTGGAAGGCAGGAGCTGTCAGAATACTTGGTAACCATCTGGAGAAGAGCAAACCTTCGTGGGATCTCGAATCAGCCCGAGGGCAAACTCCCCACGGATCAGATATCGTGGCCAAGCAGAGGCTGTGAAGTGAAACCAGAGCCCGAAAGGGAGATTGTGTCGTCTAGCAGCTGAACTACGAGAACAGTCCAGAAGCTGGGAACCCCACCTCTGCTCTGCTCAGGGAGCCAGCAGGCAAAGCCAGAAGAGCAAGGGCAGATGGGAGGCCCACATAGGGCTCATCTATAAACTCACAGATCAAGGGCCCCTGCCGGTTGCAGAGAGAGAAAGAGAGAGAGCCAACCACGGGAAAGGGGGCAGGGGGATGGGATGCGTGCTCCCAGGAAGGGAATCCAGTGGGTCTAGCCCAAGGGAAGAATGGATCGAAGTGACTGAGTTCATGTCCAGTGTAGATCCTTACATGAAAGGGTCTGTGAGCTAGATTGCTCTGCAAAGTGAGGGGATGGCGATACCCCTGTAGGCTGGTATCTGTGAGACACCAGCAAGACTTGTGTAAAGCACTACACAGAAGCAAGACCCCGCAGGAGCGGCTCAGGCACACTGCGAGTTTTCTATTCTTTCTGATGTCTGGATCGTGAGCATATATTACCAGCTCAAGAAAATTGATACATTTGTATGTAAACGAGAAGGTGGAATCCACTTCTGCGGAGACAGACCATGTGCAAAGACAGGAAGGGCTCGCCTAAGTGGGAAAAGGAATAGGCAATACCATGACCATTAAGCCACAGTAAGATGCGGTTTCCGCACCAGCAGGCACTGGCAAAGGCACCAAGGAGCAGGGGCAGAGACCCTTGTTGAATCTGGTAAGATGGTCGTGGGCAGACCCCTCAGTGCCCAGGTCCCAGAGACCCGCCACCGATACAGGCAGGGGAAATGGAATTTACAGAGAGCAGTGGGGCACACGGGAGCGATTTCGGCGTTGCGTTTTTGGGAAATTAAGGTGCAGAAGACGGAAGTCAGGCGGAGGGCTTTTACTTTCCAGCGGCCGGGCTGTGGATGGCTCAGGAGGGAGGAGAGAGGAGGGTTTACGCCATGCCCAGTGGGCGGAAGGCAAGGTCTTCTGGCCCTGTGGGAAGGGAAGAAGGACCCAGGTGAGCCCCCGCCGGGTAGGAAAAAGAGAAGTGGAGGGCAAGGCAGTCGGGACAGGGCAGTATGTGGGGCATGGGGCCCGGGCCTAACCGCGACCCGGTTCTGGCCTCTAGGAAGCCGCTGAGGAATGGCCTGGTGAGAGACAAGCGCTTCTGAACTCCTCGACCGCCTTCGCATCCCTTAGGACCCAGCCCCGCCCGACCACGCGCCCCCCTCCAGGGACCGACTACGCCCCTCCCTCGGGACTCTGGCTCCGTCCAGCTCCGCCCCACCTGGGCCCTGGCCACTGCCCGTCACCTCCCCCTGGACCCCTGCCCGGCACCCCCGAGACCCCGCCCCCGGGGTCTACCTTCGTCGGGCTTCAGAACCGCGGCCACGTCCCCCGAGACCCTGACCCCGCCCAGCCCCAGACCTCTGTCCTGGCCCCTCCAGGGACCTCGGCCCCGCCCCCCAGCCTGCCGGTCGGGGGAGTCCGGAGGCCCCTGAGCACTCGTCCGGCCGCCGCCAGCGAGGAAGATGCCATCGCCGTGCCGCCGTCCTGGCCACCGCGTCCTTTTCTTCCTCCTGGCCCTGCTGCTGCCCTCGCCGCCCCCAGCCCGCGCCCCAGCGCCGCCGGGCCCCGCCGCCACCCTGCTCCAGGCTCTCGGGCTGCCTGACGCGCACCGGGGCGCACCCACGCCCCGGCCCGTACCCCCCGTCATGTGGCGCCTCTTCCGCCACCGGGACCCCCAGGAGGCCAGGGTGGGCCCTCGGCGGACGCCCCAGGGAACCACCCTGAGACCGTGCCACATGGAGGAACTGGGGGTCGCCGGAAACATCGTGCGCCACATCTCGGACCGCGGTAAGTGGGGCCTGCGTTGGGGGCGTGTGTCCGGGAGGCCGAGACTCCTCTGTGCGCCCTGCCACGAGCCTCCAGCGCCGCGTGGGGGAGGCCAGAGCACCGCCGAGTGTCCCCACTCGTCCGGTCCAGCCCACGAGCAATCTGGGCCTCCTCACTCCATCCGCTCTTTCCCCGTGGACACCTGCGGGCACCGGTTGGAGTTGTCCCAAGGCCAGGCTCCCTTGCACCCGGCAAGGCCCCCAGCTTGCAGCCGAAGCCCTGCCCCCACCTCCCCCACCCCACCCCCCACCCCCGCTGCTTCACACCATTTGATGCCTTTCCCGGAGATACCACCTCTCCAGCATCGCTTCCCCACGAGCCCCCAGGCATCCGTTCGTCTCTTCCCCTGCCTGGGGTTGGCGGGCAGGCTGCCCTGCGCTGGGCAGGACTTCTTCCTTGCAAACGATGCCCTGCCCCCACTCCATCGCCCCCCCCCGCCCCCCCGGGGCCCGGGCACACCATTTGACGCCGCCTTTAGAAGGCAGTTTGGCGCCCCTCTTCCCCAGACGCTCACCTTTCCCCCACCCGCAGAGACACCGCCCCCCCCCCCCCCCCACCCCCCCTGAGGGCAGGCCGGGCAGGGCGCTGGGGTGCAGCGCGAGCCGAGCTCTCTCCCTGCCATCCCAGGTGCGCCCACCCGGCCCCCGGAGCCCGCCTGGGCTTCGGGGCAGTGCCCTGAGTGGAACGTCGTCTTCGATTTGTCAGCCGTGGAACCTGCCGAGCGCCCGAGCAGGGCCCGCCTGGAGATGCGCTTTGCGGCGGCGGCCGCGGAGGAGCCGGCCGGTTGGGAGCTGAGCGTGACTCAGGCGGCCGAAGGCGCGGTCGCTGGGCCCGTGCTGCTCCGCCAGGTGGTGCCCACCCTGACGGTCCCGGTGCGCGCCGAGCTGCTGGGCGCCGCCTGGGCCCACAATGCCTCGGCGCCTCGCAGCCTCCGCCTGGCGCTGGCGCTGCGCCCCCGGGCCCCCGCCGCCTGCGCGCACCTGGCCGAGGCCTCGCTGCTGCTGGTGACGCTTGACCCGCGCCTGTGCCACCCACTGGCCCGGCCGCGGCGCGAAGCCGAGCCCTCAGTGGGCGGCAGCCCTGGAGGCGCGTGTCGCACGAGGCGGCTCTACGTGAGCTTCCGCGAGGTGGGCTGGCACCGATGGGTCATTGCGCCGCGCGGCTTCCTGGCCAACTACTGCCAGGGCCAGTGCTCGCTGCCCGCAGCGCTGTCCGGACCCGGGGGGACGCCCCCGCTCAACCACGCCGTGCTGCGCGCGCTCATGCACGCGGCCGCCCCCGGTGCCGCCGGTCTGCCCTGCTGCGTGCCTGCGCGTCTGTCGCCCATCTCTGTGCTCTTCTTTGACAACAGCGACAATGTGGTACTGCGGCACTACGAGGACATGGTGGTGGATGAGTGTGGCTGTCGCTGACGGAGCCAGGCAGGGGCCCAACAATAAACACTGCGTGGTCCGCTTCCCTGTCTCCGGTCTGGTCACCTGAGGGCGGGAAAGGAAGCAGCCACATCCATCACCACCCACTGCCAGGGCTTGGGAGTGTCCCACAGTGATGCTACCTGCCCAGCCCTCCTAGAGCTGGGTTCCTAGAACCCCATCTCTAGGCGGTCTGACATCTAACATGCCTAAGAGCCTGGGAACTGCCCACTGCACCGAGGTCACCCCCTAGTCCCTGCGGTGCACATCGGGCCATTCTCAGCTTTGCCATCCAGGTGACCCCAAGGCTCCCAACCAGCCAGGTCCCCAGACCAAGTGCTCTGCCGTCTCCCTGCAGTTGATCTGTCCCGGTGTGAACACAAGAGCTGTTAATTAAGATTTTATTGGTGACAATAGAGCTTAAAACAAATTGACCAGAAATCAAAAGTTACATTGCCTTGGTACATATGCTCCTTGATTTGGAAAACTCAGAATTAACTGCTGCTATGAAGGTGAAGAACAAAGCAAACAGCACAAAGCAGAGGCAAGGCATTCCAAGGGAACAGAACAGGGTAGGTGGGTGGGCGGGTGGGTGGGCACAGGTGTTGCCCACGGGGTGTGTCGCACAAGGGGTCATAGCGGAAACCTATCCAAACTCTATGCCTCTATGTGGCCTATCAAAAGAAGGGGGAAACCGAAAGCCCTACAGCAATGGTAATAAATAAGAGGCCTTGCCAGAAGGAAGGTGGCCTGTGTGTCCCCGTCTCCCACGTACAAGCTGGAATCTGGAGGCTTTGAGATCAGGGCCAGTGTTCGCCTCACAGGGACGGGGAAGCTGGGGGGGGGGGGGGGGGGAAGGGTCACCAGGGCCTGGATAGGCAGGGAATGGTCCCCAAATAGGTGGTTGCCAGGGAGACAGTACTACCCCACCGTGGTGCGCAAGGAGCTGGGGGTGGCTCTCCCAGCTACAGTAACTTCTTGTGTTGTGGCCCAAGCCCCTTCGGCACAGAACCAACCTATTTCTGATACATGCTCCTTTCCCCCCCCAAAAAGCAGAAATCACTCCACCCTATCACACCTGTGCCCACAGGTAGAGGGGCTCCCAACTCGGAGGGTGGGGTAGAAAACAAGGTGAGTGGGGCACTCAGCGTGTCTAACCAGCCACGGGGACCGTGGGTGCCTCCCTGGGGATGGGTCCTCTTGGCTGCTGCTGTCTTCCATCAAATCCTCAGGAAGGACCCTAGGGAAGAAGCCACTGGCCAGAGAATAGCCACCTCCCCACCCTCTGGCCTCACAGCCAGTCCTGCCCAAGGCCCCTCCCAGGGTGGGTGGCTGGGGCGCGAGTCCACCGCGTGTAGGAAGCACTTTGCTTCTCAGAGTCCAGCGGAGACTGGGGCTGCCTGGCCCGGGACGAGACGGTGCTCTCTCACCGCCCTGACGTGCAGGGAGAAGCCGCTGGAAGCTAAAACTGAAAACAAAAATCCTCCTCGCGATCCCGTCACAGGTGTTGATCCTAATCTTGAGATGTGTTGGCTTGTTTAAACTTCGTTCCTGGAAGCTTCTCACATCTTCCAGGTCCACCACTAAGATTTGAGAGACAAACTCAGGAAAGTATGTTTTTCAGTACTCCTTTGAAAGAATCTTTAAAAAACAAACAGAAAAACCCAAAACACCGTGTTTTCTTTAAATGAAACCCTCTTAGAACACAGGCAGCGTGACCAGGGCAGTTTCAGAGCTGGTGTGGACAGAACCCACACCTCCTCGGGGCTCTCCCGGCATGGCTGCCCCGGCAAGGAGCCTGCTCGGCACAGAAATGCGAAGTTTTTCCTGCTAAAACGTAGTCCCCTTTCAATAAAACAGAAACAGAAAGAAAAGAACAGAGGAAAGGGCTACTCTGAGATGAGGGTCTTCCTCCCTCCGCCCTGGTCGCAGACCCAGGTGTGGACGCGGCGAGCGCTGGGCCTCCTTGGCGAGCGGGGCTGGCAGGGCTCGCTGGCGGGCGGTCCTCCGTGGCCACCCGCCTCCCGCTCTCCCTTCTCCTTCTCCTCGCCGCCGCGGGCCAGCAGTGGGCGCTCGCTCTGTCTCGGGCTCCTCTCTCCCTCGGGTGCTCCTCTCCCTCTCCTGTTGCTCACAGTGGTGCTTCAGTTTTAGCAGTGGAAAACAGGTATCCATTTATTTTTATTTTTTATTACCCAGAATAAGATGCTGATGGACTAAGCCACATAGCTTAGCTCTTCCGCCGCCACCTGTGGGGAGGGAGGAAGGCAAGGGGCCATCAGAGAAGGCAGAGCCCCACACAGCTGGGCAGCTAGAAGGTGCGGGGCTCTTCCCCCCACTTCCCTTTGCACCCGCGAAATGGAACCTCAGAAGCTGGGTGCCCAGGCTAGTGACTCCCCACCCAGAGAGAAGGAAGCCGAGAGTTTAAGGGGCCGCCTCTGTCAGCGGCACCAGCACCCCACCTCCCCAGCACACGCACGGAGAGGGGACCAGGCCCACGCTCGCCCAGCTCTGGTCACGCCACAGTCAGGGGAACCATAGGACAGGGCTTCAAGGAACCTGGAAGGCCCTCCTGCAGAGGTGGCCCTCCTGCAGAGGTGCCCTCCGCCAGGACTCCCACATCCAGCCCTTCCTCGCTGAGTTCAAGGACTCTCTCAGGAGGGACTATGATGCAGAGAGGTGTGTATGAAGCTCCCATCCTCCCACTGCCATGAGCAGATGTACAGGGAGTGAAAATGACAGTTCGAAGGACAAGCTGGCCTCTGGGGGTCTTGAGAGCCCTCCCACACATTTCCCATATCTCCCATCAAATCCAGTTACTGGCGACGACCTCCTGCAGGGATCAGCTTGCCTTCTAGTACTGGGACAGCCCTGTCACTCCGCCGTGCTGGTACGCCCGCTCCCCTTGGTACGTGGAGTCTTGCGACAGCGCCACATC